TTCAGGCAAATATTTTTTACTTACATATTCAAGTTACTTTGTTTATTCTTAAGCAATATGAATTTAGCTAAGAATAGAACTGCTAGGGCATTTGTATTAAACATCTGTTCTCAAATAGCCACATTTAGCGTAATACTCTTATTTTGCTGATGGAAACTAAGTTTAGAAACTGCTTTGCCACTGTTTTTTGGGTTTATTTTTCCAATGTGAGCTATATTTCAAGTGATGTCATTGAAAATCAAGCTGCAATTCTTTTGACAAATTGCTGATACATTTACTGACACTGTAATTCCTTACACTGTGGTTACTGTAATGTAATGTCCATGTAAAAAGTGCTACAATGAATTTAGTGTTCTTTAAAGAACTACCCAGCTTGCACACTGAAAAGATATGGAATATGGAGAATAAGGTAGCATCTTAAATATAACGTCTCTAAAATTGGGATGGGGGGCTGCATTTTAGCAAGATCCAGGCTGCACCAACCATATTAGCTGCCTGAATCCATGTGTTCTCTATAGCAACATTAGCTTAAAAAAACCCCAAACCCACAAATACGTCTGTAGAAGCATATCTAATGCAGTAGAGAATTTAACTGCGAGTTTGTATGCCAGAAGTGGAAAACTGACTGTGAAAGAAGGGGATGAAGACATAACCCTCAACCTTCTGTGGACACACAGAAAAATGAATACGCTCTTTTCAGTGTTTCAGACTAGTTCTGCAGTACATCCATGTCCAGTTCATTGAAAACCGAGAGACTATAAGGCCAGGGTTAATACCCTGCATTGGGACAGGTTAAGTAAAAGCATAGATTTGAATGAGATGCTAGAGAAAAGAGGAAAGAAATCTGTATAATGACTTTCCCTGTTTTTCGGTGGGTTGCCAACATAAGGAAAGAATTGGTCCATCTAAAATTGATCCCATTTAAAACACTTTTTCTCCTAAGTAGTTACTGAACTAATCTATGTTATAATTTTTATGTTCCCTCTTGGATAATACAGGATGATTGTTTTGGTCAGAAAGTTCCATCACCACATTTGATTACTGATGACAAACTAATCCTTCTGCTCCTTAAATTTCTCAGCAGCATGGCCACTGCAGGCTAAAGCAGCTCTAGTCAGTTCTAGGTATCTGAAGCTGCTGTACATGTTGAGTCTTGGTGGTGTTACTCAGTTATGACTGTCACTGTGCCTCCCTAATGTAGACATTGTAACTTCCTCTGAGCAGAAGGTGAAACTTTTGTATCCTAATGGCTTAAGGAAAAAGCTCTAAAAATATTTTCCGTAACTAACATAGACTCCCCTTATTTTGAACTGAAAACCTATTCTTACACCGAGGCAAAGAAGAGTTAATATTTATATGGCAGGAGGGAATGAAAGATGAGTGATAATAAAGTGCTGATGTATGACAGCTGTTGCATCAGCAGATGTGATACACTGATTATGTACTTTTTGATAACATCAACTGGCATTTTATTTAAGTAGAAAGGAGAAAATTTGCACTTTTTATCACTGATGTTTTTCGTAATTCAAATGAAAGGTACATTTTGTTATGAGAACTAGAAACTTTGGATTGAACAGGGAGACAGTGATTTCTTTTTCAGAGGTACACAAAACTCTAAGTCATGTAACACTGTCCTCTTACCATACAAAAGTGTTACAGAACAGAATTGTTACATCCACCTACCTGAACAAATAAATTGCTTGTATTAAAGGTGGCTTTTTTCATATTCTTTCTGTGAGTGAAATACCTCTCTGATTCCTCTATTAAAGGAACTGGGTCAGCTGAGGTACTGAGTAGACATGGGCACGCAGGGCTACACTGATACGGTGTCACACACATACAGATTCCCTCGAGGGCCTTAGTGATTTATCATGTTTGGCTTATGAATGACTGTCAGAAATGTAGCTTCCACTTTTCACCACACAAATGCACAAAGACGAATACTGTGGTTCTGTGGAAACCCCCACCCTGAACGTTAGAAGACCACAACAAACTAGTCACAGGGAAACCTGAGAATGAAATGTTTGAATAGGAGCAAGAAATCTCGCCAGCCATCGGGAAGATACATTTAAAAGCCAGGTGTGCTATTTTTGTGGCTGCAAAAATGTGGAAACTTGAAGGGTGGCACTTGCTAAGAAAAGCTACAAACAGCATGTGAGGTTCTATTCCCAAATCTCTAATTTCCAGGGACAAATACTAGACTGTGCTGGTTTTAGTCCAGTTTGATCTAAGACATTAGCAGACCTGAAGGAGTTTCAACTACAGCTTTATGTTACACAAAGAGCAAAACCTTCTTAAGTCACAATTTCCTGGGTAAATGGCTTTCCCTTGCACTTGCTCTATTTCCAGCGGCCCCTGGAATACAGATAGATAGCAATTAATTTCCTGGCACCTGAAGTGCAGAACTGGCAGGAAAGGCTTCTAAAGCAAGAAGCTTGCTGTACAGGCAGATTAAAGCTAACACAGCAATTAAGTTGTGGCAGAGGTGTGACTAAGACTAACAGTGGAAACCAAAACTGAAGTAACATTCCAGGCATGACTGATGACTCCTGGCATGTGTAAGGAAGGGAAATACATGCTCTAGAGACTTCGGTGAAATGCCAAGAATAAATTCGGACTGTTTCTTTAAATGTCACACTAAATGATACAGAAGCTATTGTTCACTAATTGTTTTTTGTACTGAAAGATGCAGCCATACGGCAAATGAACCCTGGGTATCTTGGAAATGCAGGGTAATTTAGACTGTTTCAAAAATATCTTAATCTCTAAGTAACAGGATTCTAGCACAAATGCCTTTGAGCAGAGCTTTCCTGACAATTTTTAAATGGTTAAATGATTCAAAAACTAACTTAAGTCAATAGTCTGATTTACATAATATCGTTTACATAATACATTGGTCTGTATATTTTTGACACCTGAAGTAGGCTGGCAGCTGTTAATCACAAAGTATTCATGGAAGGAAATCCACCTCCAGTTTACAGGCAGTGACCAAGGATTTCAAAGACTAAATGGACTTGAAAACTTGTCTGTCTTCAGTGCCAGTATTTAGCACAGCTCCTATTCAGATGGAGACAGTCTAACCACCGATGGAATGAAGAAGTTTCACCATCATATCTAGCAACTGCTTTCATTATACTTTTCTTAGTATTTGCTACTGATCTGTGGGTTTCTGTAAGAGCTTTACATGGCATCTGTTTTCTGTGACCCTTGGGAAAGCATTTTCTCATACTGGCAAACAACATTAGACATCTACCCATACAAGCCTGAGGATGGTCACAAAGCAGTCTTCTAACACTGAAGACCTGTGCTCAGAAACACACCACGTTCTTCCTGTTAATGCAAATTGCTATATGGAAGGGTTGTCTGCTTTAGCCTTTAAATAAGGGAAAATTTAATCCAGTATTTGCTCATTGGTTTGTGTTCTTCAGTATTTTCAGTTCTTTTCTATTAAAGATGTTCTAAATTGCTCAGTGAGAGTATACTAACAGGCTAGAACAGAACAGCTGTGTGCAAAGGGGTAGAAGGCACATGGCTGGACTTCAGACTAGAGATGTCTATCCTGGAGTGTCACACACAGATTACAGGGAAATGTGAATTAAGGGGAAGGAAAGCAAAGGTAATTAGGTTGATAGTTTATGGTTACCTAAGTTAATATACAGTAAAACTCCATCTAGAAAGACAAAGCATTAGCTTAAGCAAACATTTAAAAATCTCTGAATGACTGACTTGGGTTAAACATGTTTGCTAGATGGGGCTAATGAAGTATTAGCCAGGCATGAGAGCAGCAGTATTAAGAATCTGTGCTGATTATAGGACAAGACTGCAGGCTACTGGATACTGATAGCCAAGCTTTGCTACTGCATGCTGCCAAGTCTTTTCCTCCATCTTTCCTTCATAAGAAAGGCAGTGATAGTGAACTGATCCTAAGGATTTAGTTCAGCTCCACATCTGAAAACCTCTCCCTCTCCTTAAGAGGGAAGTGCTAGTTTACACATTCAATGATAGTGACCTTGGTTGAGACTGCAGGCTACTGGATACTGATAGCCAAGCTTTGCTACTGCATGCTGCCAAGTCTTTTCCTCCATCTTTCCTTCATAAGAAAGGCAGTGATAGTGAACTGATCCTAAGGATTTAGTTCAGCTCCACATCTGAAAACCTCTCCCTCTCCTTAAGAGGGAAGTGCTAGTTTACACATTCAATGATAGTGACCTTGGTTGTTGGA